TTGTTGAGAAGAGGACGAAACCGAACAAAGATCGTCACCTAAAAGTCGAAGGAAGAGGTCGAAGAGTTAGGTTATCTCCAGTTTGTGCAGCTAGGCTTTTTCAATTTACTAGAGAATTAGGTCACAAATCTGATGGTGAGACTCTTCAATGGCTGCTTCACCATGCTGAGCCCTCGATTATCTCCGCCACCGGAAAAGGAATCAACCCACCAGAACCACCGATTCCATTTTAGAACCTCCTCCGATCACCGTCGATTTGAACCTAAGAGAAGCTTCAAGGTCTCAAATTTCAAATGGGTTTTGTCCAAATAAAACAGGGTTTGATTTGAACTGTGGAGTTGGGTTTGATCTTAATGGTGTTTCAGAGATGCCTGGACTTGAATTAGAGTTATCTCAAGAGATTGCAGAGAAAAATGGTTCTTAAAGCTTAAACCTTTAGTGTCTTCTTTAGTTAGATTTTGCATATATATGCATTATATGGTTTTGGTGAAATCTCAAGCTTATATCTTTGGAGATGCAGTTTGTGGCACAATGTGCTCATTTTGCTAACCTCTTTTTTACTTAATGGCTTTTTGATGTACTAATTACGCTATAGACTTACCAAGTAAGGTTTGCTCTTTAAACTGCATTGAATTAAGGCTTCGCTGCACAATCAAGCACTTTGTTAATTGAATGTTGTTGCACAGAAGTAAAAAAATTAGAATTTTGGGACAAATGTTGCAAGAGATTTTAAGTTACTGGGAAAGTTTGGGACTCGAATAAGTTTGAATTTAATCTTCATATTGGTTTCGATGATTTTATCCAGAAGCTAAGTTGTTTTCAGAGCCTGCAAAGGTAAATATCTCTTTTGGTCTTTGATGATGATGGCTAATGTCATCCATTGGCTTTACTGTCTTTTGATAATGGAATTTGGACTACTCTACGTTTTTGTATGAAAAAACGACGAGCGTTCTTCCACGAAAACAGTGAAACAGTGTGATATTTTTTTTTTGCATTGTGTCAATATAAGCTGAAAACTCGAATGCGATTAAGGACTAATCTTGAAAAATAAAGACCGGATCACAAAGCAATAACTAAAAGAGATCTTTCTGATTTAGCATGTATATGTACAATGTCTTACACAATACATGGAAACTTTAATTTTCTTCAAAATCTTTCCAAATGTTAGAATTAAGCATTTGGTCCAATGGCATGTATATTCCAATTGCCGAGCATAGATAGTTGCATTATCACGATGATTGGTTTCAAATCGAAGATCAAGCATGAAGCCATTCTAGATTACTTGAAGCATAACGTTGCCAAGCATCCTCGGTTTTGTAGTAAACTGGTAATTGCCACACACACACACACATGTACAAGTTCTACTTAGGATTTCACATTATGTTTTGGTCTGAAGTCAGATGATGGTGCAAGATGGATAAAGACAAAAGTTAACGTAGAAGATCATGTATATATATGCACCAGAAATAGACCAACAAGAGATCAAAGGAGATGGAGAAAGCTTCGTCAATGATTATGTCTCGCGGATAACAATGATTCCTCTCGATAGATCAAGACCATTGTGGGACATTCATATACTCAATGTCAAGACATCTGATGTAGAAGCGGTTGGTGTAATGAGATGTCACCATACTTTGGCAGATGGTATCTCTTTGATGTCTCTCTTGGTGGCGTGTACACGAAAAACAGCAGATCCCGAGGACTTTTCTACCATTCCTACCATAAGACGACATGCACATTTTTTGCCGCAACACCTTAGAAACAAAGGCCGGTTTTTAAAGTCGATGTTCACCATTTATTATGCGGTGAGATTGATTTGGAATACCATTGTAGATCTTGTGCAGCTCTCGGGGACTGTATTGTTCTTGAAGGATATAGAGATACCTCTTAAACATGTCAAGAATAATCCAATGAGATTTTATCATCGAATTGTTTCAATGGATGATATTAGACTTATAAAAAACGCCTTGAACATGGTGAGTTACAATTATCTAGTTATAAATGGTTTTTTTCGTGAATGTATATATCCTCTAAAAAAATTGTGAGTTTCTATTTGTTCTTCATCTTGTGTGTGTGGCTAGACTATCAATGATGTTCTAATTGGAGTTACACAAGACACTATTTCCCACTATCTAAATGGACGATATGGTAACCCTTAATTTATCCATTCATAATTGTTTTCCTAGAAACTATAAATTATAGTTTATGATTTGGTAACAGTGTACTGTCATCTCTTATCTCTATTGAGTATTGGTACCATTTTTAATTAAACCATCATCTTGTACCGCTAAGTAAACCGTATTGTATTATTATCATTTTGTACCACTATTTATACCCGCTATTTATATTGTTATCTATACCGCCCTGTATTACCAATCATATCCTATATGTAAGAGCATGATTATAGGTAGTAAATATGTTGGGATAATATATGAATTTTATAATATTAATTGTATTGGAATTAATATTAGAACCCCAACTTATTTTGTTGTTATTTTTTGTGATTATAGGTGGTAAATATAGAAAGATTCTAAAAAAAAATAAAAAAATTATGAAATTGTGTTTTTTTCAAGTAAAGTTTGAGCAGCTAGCAACAACATCATTCAAACCGAGCTGGATACTTTGAGCAGCTAGCATTACAGCTGAAGTTACAAGTGAGGTAAAAAAGCAATGTGAGGTTTCAATGATCATCATATGGAGAAGAAGAAGAAGATGAGTAATCTTTGAGGTCACCTTTCATTCCTGCAGCACATACTTTGTTGACAGTAGTGCAGATCATGGAATAAGAAATCCCGGCACCAAGTGCAGCTTGTCTTGCCGGTGCTTGACCGAGATTGGCGGTTAAGACATTGCCAAAGAAGACCTCTTCCACGAGTGTCGGAGCCAAGAAAGTCTCCTATAGGCGTTCGCGCCACTCCCATAACACAAACATCTGCACCCACCAGAATTCAATTGTAATACAAGTAGCCAAAACCATGTCATGATCCAACCAGAAACAGTGAGAAGTACAATGTATCTCACAGATTCCTAAACACAAAGATCCCAAAGCCATACAATACAAAGCAAAAAGCTTTTAAAAACATGATTATAGATGGGTAAGGACTTACGCTTCATTCATCTTCTGGTCAAACTGACGAGTATCAAACTATGTACCTTCTGCTGCTGATCCTGCCATGACTACAACAACCAAACACAATAGAAACAACCTTTTAGATATAACAGAACAATCCCCAAATACCAAAAGATAATGAACAAACCAATCTTATGAATCTTTCTGCATACACAAAACGTAAGAATAGCATAAAAGTTTTCAAAATTAAAGTTAACCCATCTTTCAAAATCGAAACTTGATATAAACCAATCAGCCCAAAACTCAAATCCAGAGAAAAAAATTAGGGATTTGAAAGGTTTCAGCACACTGATTGATTCATATAACGATGACCCATGATCAAAAATCAAATATTTACAAGCATCATCAGATTCAAATATACCCATAAGGAATCCGAACCAAATCCATAGACTCAGACAAAGAGAAGAACCAAATCCATAAACAATCAGAGATATCTTACCAGGACATAGACTTTGGAGAACACGATTTCATGAACTTTTCAAGAAAACTGATTCTTGCTTTCGGATTGAGAGATCGACGAACATCGACAGAGAAAAAGATCGACGAACATCCAGAGATCTCTTGATTTTTTTACAGAAGATC